GTAATATAAAAAAAGAAATGAAATATAAAAGAAAAGATTTATAAATATATTAACTAAGTAATCTATATAGTATTATTAAATATAGTATATATATGTGAAATGTTAATATTAATGTAAGACATTTGTGATCAAAATTATAAATCTCAGATTTAAAGTGATAAAAGTATATAGAAATAAGAAAAAGAGAATAAATATAAAATTTAGGATATAAATATAAGATTTAGAATAATAAAATAAAAGTGAGATAATTATATGATTGGATAAAAATAATAATAATCAGATGATAAATTGTAAAAAAAGAATTTTATATAATCAAAGAAAGATTATCGAATTAGAGAAATTTATGTTACTATGATAACAATATCAAGCAGTTATTAGATTTTTAATATCATATAATTCAATATTTTATAATAATTAATTAATTATAAATATATAATATATTAATAATAATAATAAATATATAATATAATAATAATAATAATAAATATATAAATATAATAAAAATAACTTATTCTTTTTTTATTTACTTTATTTTTATCTTTATTATGAATATTTTTTCTTATATTATTAATTTCTTTTTTTATTTTATACAAAATTTTTCTTTGTATTATCTGATATATTTGAATCTAAATTAAGATATTTATATTACAAAAAAAATAATATATAATACAAAATAAAAATATACATGTAATTAATTATATAATCTTTAATAAAAATAATAATAAATATATTTTTTGTTTATATTTTAATTAGAAAACTTGAAAATATTATAAAAATTTAAAAATTAAAATATAAACAAAAAATATATTTATTATTATTTTATAATTCTATATATAATAAGATTAAAGAGTAATGAGAGAAATACTACTAATAAAAAAATCAGTTAATTTCTGGTATTTCTCTAATAAAATAAAAAATATTATTATAAAAAAATTCCTATTTTTACTATTTTTTTTGAATTTCTGTAAAAATATATATTTTGTAGTTAAAAAATTTTCTTTAAATTAAATAAAAAAATTTTTAATATTATTATATTCAATAATAAATTTTGAAAATAATACATTTTTTATAATAAGAAAATTGTTATTAATTTGAGAATATAATTTTTGATAAAACATTGTTTTTTGCTTTTAATTTAATGAAAAATTTGTGAAAATTTGTAGATATATTTTTTAGACTATTAGAAACAAAATTTTTTAATATTACAAAACATATTAACATAATAATATTTTGCAAAATTTTGAGTCAAAAGTGACAAATTGAAATTTTTAACATTTAATAAAAATAAAAAATTATTTAAAAATATTTTCAATAATCAATTTATGAAAATATATTTTATAATAATAAAAAATATATTTTTAGTTTTAAAAGATTGTTAGTACATTTTTATTTAATAAATATTATTCAAAAAAAGATATTATTTTTATGAATTTTTTAATAAATCATAGTAAAAATCTCGTTTTTACTATATTTTATTAAAAAAATTTATCAAAATAAAGCCTTTTAAAATGATATTTATTAAATAAAAATGAGCTAAAAAATTTTTTAAATTACAAATATATATTCTTTATGTCATAAAATATATTTTTATAAAATTTTCTTCAAATTACTTATTAAAAATATTTTTAATAATTTTTTATTCCTACATAAATGTTAAAAATTTCAACTTGTCACTTTTGACACCAAATTCCGCAAAATATTATTATGCTAATATGATTTGTGATATTAAGAAACTTTGTTTATGTCCACCATTACTTTCGCCAGGACTGTACATTGATATTAAAAATAATAAAAATTATTCCATTAATTATAAAAATGGGTGAATATTGGTAGCAGTGCTCTATGATATTAATTTTCCCATTGATTCTTTTATTATAACATTTAATGTTATAATTATCCATAACTGAAAAAGTAATTCATTTTCAATAATTTTTTAGCCAATTAATCAAGGAGTAAATAAGGTTTTGTATATATCTTCTAATCTTGGAGCGTCTCGATATCTTAAAAAATACACCAAGAAAAACCATAATAAATATTTAAATAAGTCAAAGTTAAAATATTTTTAATTTGTCAAACGATAATTTGATCTAGTTTTTTGCGGCATCGCTAAATTTAACAAAAATTTTAACGTTAATTGGATGGAAGTTACTAATTTACATACATACGTACGTGTAATCAGAAAACTCTGTGTGCTACGTATAGATGAATAGATACACTAAAAATTGGTTCCTCGTATTCTAATATCGCGCAATATTGGAACAATCATAAAAATCAATATTTCAAACTTAAAGTGTCGCTAGTTCTGCCTAAAAAGATTTCACGATAAAAATTGCGTTTTATCAATTTGCAAAAATCGGAGTAATTCCAAAATACGAAAGGAATGTCAGATTTCAATGTCAAAGAGTTACCAACTTTATTTATTTGAATGAGAATGATAATTAAACTTGAAGGATATTGAGTTATTGTGCCGCTTTTACACTATCTCTAATTTATATTTTATATTATGTGCTATATTATTTTGTGGTGTTTCTATACTAGGTGATCAAGATGAGTCACCATTTACGTAGTTTAATAAACACATTTGTAACTGAACTAATCTGAAATTTTTCATATCTTCTGTTAGAAAAATTGATTTAAAAGTTACAATGTAAATAAAAGTAAATATTTGGAATAATAAATTCATTTACGTAAAGTTGCAAGGATTTTAGCTTGTTACATAATAATATCCTCGTGAAGATGATTTTACACAGCCCAATATCACAATAAAATAAATTTATAAATGATCATTGTTCCTTCACTAAGCATTGTTTAATGCTGTGCAAATTAAACAACAAGGTGGCGAATGAAAAAAAGAAAGAGCAATTGTTTGCCAACATTCCAAATTTAGAATTTTCACGTCAAATCAAAGACTCTCGAATTGTCAAAAGAAGCGTATTAGATTCGAATTATTTTCGCATGCAAGCACGGATATTTTGCATGTTTCATTTATTTCTCGTTTTTTAGTGGTGCAACATCACCCATGAAATACTCGTGCAAACTTATCATCTTTTACTAGGATAATTTTTAATGAAGCGAAAAATGAGGGAAGAAAGTTTCACGTTTCAAACTTGCCTGACTATTTATTAGACAGCACAATCGTCAATTTGTTTGTGCATTTAAACAATAAAATCAATTGTATATACAACATAGAGTTCAACAATAATACATTGTATGATATATGATAATAACTAGGTGATGGTGACAAATTGTGTTTCTTTGTATAAGTTCTCGCACTTGAACTTCCGATAAAAACTGCAAAAAGACTGGTCCACATTTTATTTTAGTAATTAACAAGTATTCAAGCCTTACAGAAAACCAGTTATAATAAAGAACTGGGCATGACCCGTGTATTTATTTAAACTACGTATTTGTACATTAATAATTCGTTAATATGATAGGAATTTGCTAGGCATGAGCCTTAAAAATTGCATTTCCTCTATACTACGAATCTATAATAGAATTTTTGATTGACGCGCGTTGATTTACACGAAATATTTAATCTATATGAAATTATCATTAAACAATAAATAAATGGTGCTGATTTTCTTGCAGCAATTCTATTTGATCGAATAGAATGAGTTGTTTTTAACAATTCAAAATGCATGTACATAATAATTATATTATCGTTATCATTATGTCAAGGATGGTTATCTACGTATATCGAAAATTCTCCAAAAATAAACTAAAATGACTATCCAATTACAGTGAAAGTTATTTGTGATGATTTCTAGAATTCAAAGAGTCCAAAAGCGGTCATACACACGCAAACGAATAATATTTGGAAAATATTGACATCATAAAGTCATAATGTTGAAGATCGCTCATACTTTTTCGGTATATGATTTGAGTGATCGTTCGTAAAGACGACGGCATTTAAGTTTTTTTTTCATGTATCAACATTCTTACTATTAGACGAGGAAGCCAAATGAACAACTTATTTTTAAAAAAAAAACACACAATACAAAATTTTAACACTATTGTAATGAATGTATAAAGATGAAATTCTATGGATCAAGGCGAGAATTATAATAGAACAATCGAGCATTGTATTAATTTAATATTCGGTTTTTATTAACATGTGTTTGAACTTCACATCTTAAATTCTCTTTCCTATTTTTTTTACTAGTTGCCTCGATTGTGGCGTCGGGAAAAAAATTCGAGCGCTATAAGGTGATAACTAAAAAATATTTTCACAATATTTATTATGCTAATAACTAGCACAACGCATTTTAAATTGTTCCCAATCGATTTCTTCCCATTTCAAGAAAAAGATTTACTATTTACTTTCACCTGATGATAACGTAATCAGCTATCATCTTTTGACAAAATTTCGTGACTTGTGGAAAGACAATTTAGAGAACTGGAAATGTTTACTAGTACATCTTGATGGACTTTGGCGTTAGTATGTACGGACGATGCGTTTGGGCATATTTGCGCGCATGAGGCTATGAATTTTTTTCGAAAACTTTTTAATCTTTGAGATTAGTAACAAAGAACAAGAATTCTTTGGCTTGCCTGGATGGACAGAAAAATAAAAATATTGACAAGAGCAAATGATTCTTGTATGCAAAGTGAATCAACAATAAACACAACAACGAAACGATACGAGTTTCAGTTAATCCTCGCAAAAAACTTCTATTTTTGATAAGTTCGTCGCGTTTCTTTGTTCTTTTTTGTAGACGTTGAGTGGTGATGTGAAAATTAATGAATATGCTAATAATTTGACTATACCCTTTCAGCATAATACTTGATTCTCATGTTTGATGTCTTGATTCTTCCATTCGGATCTAAGAAATAAACAATGGGTCATCAGACAAGCTAATTTACAATTTCCCGTTTGATGGCATATATTCTAACTCTTTCTCACTCTTATTAAAGATTAAAGAACACGATCTACAACAAATAGCCATTGTTCTTTTTTTGGCTTGGAGATAAAGATCGGGCACCCAATCTTGAAAATCATGCCGCGCGCATACAATCAGCCTGTCTATCTTTCTGTAACAACAGAACGTGAGAAAAATCGGGTGTTATTGGATTAAGTGCATTAAACTTTGAATCTTTCGTAACGAAATCCTACTGCATGCACAGGTATTTGTCCGTCTTATCTTTGGACGAAATCCGAAATTCGCTTCCAAATCAAGAGATTTCCCGAAAAATATGAAATAAATGAAGACTATTTCAAATTCAAACTCGCGCAATATTACTCGACGTGATAATTATTGTTGTAAATCTGTTGGGTGGTCCGTGTCATTCATTTATCTGGAGAAGTTGATAGTCGACATTTTGTAATACAGTAACAATAGTAAAAAATGTCTTGCGTTTCATTTCATTATCTAATTACCTAATATCTAATTACCTAAAATCGTCAAATTATAATTAATGATTTCTTGAAGATATTTCCGTCTGTTTGGTGCTAATCTGACAAGAGCAACAAAAAGATGAGCATTGTTCGAATCTTTTGTTTTTCGTTTTTAGACAAGGACTATCATGTTTGATGAAGCTCTCATGTTTGATGAATTTCTCATTGTTTTATAAGACGATAGACATTGAAATAAATTAATCGATCCAAGGGAGAGGTGCCCGATCATCTCATTAGCTGAAAATCGCTGCGCATTTTCCGAGAGATAACCTTAAACTCATAATAATCCTGACAGATCATTCAAATCATTAGGCGTGCGTGCTGCATATGCGCATATATACGTGCATGGAATATGCTCCAACCCTCGACCAAAAAAGAACAATGTGATGTTGGATCAATTAGCCAAACTAATGAAAATGTTCTCATGACTTTTTCTCCCAAATGAACGAATTTTAATCACCTTAGAATAAAAGAATGGGAAAAATTTGTGGATTTAATCTATTCACTGAAACGCTTTTTCCAATTATCCCCTTAATTTCACACAAAAAGATGAATGAAAGAAACAAAAAACTTTTTTTTTAAGGGAACGATCTGAACTTGTTTCCATTATGCGAAAAATTGAATTTAACAATTCGATTGTTCGATATTATGATCAAGAGTTAACGTCAAATGTAACAAAGCGACATCAATCATGTTTTACCCTTACATTTTCATGGAAATGTCAAAAACAACAAAAGAATCGAAAGGGATATTGTTCGCGAACGTCAACATTATTTTCCTATTATTGTCATTATCATCATGATCATTATTCTCAAACATTAAGCGGTCCAAAGATAAGGTTATTTTTCACTTTAACGACTGTAGTGACACACACACATAAAATGTTGTGTTGACTCCCAAATTCTCAATACTGAAAAAAAGGAATTCTCATAATTTCATGCTTCCAAATTATTACCGTCCTTTAATCCAGCCCCTACATTACTAAATAACTGATATAATACCATGAAAAATGGTTATTGTTTGTTGTTGGACATGCTGAAACACGGCATAAAGTCTGGGTAGCACGATTTTTTAGACAATGATATGCGAAATTTACATTGACAGTAAACGAGTTTGAAATCCAGATTATGTCGTAATTGATTACCCTAACCAGTCGCCAATATAATGAATTGCGTAACGGATCATTGAGAAGCAAACTATACATAGAAGGTAAGTTTGTTTTTTTTAACGAGACAAGAGAAAAAAAGTTTAAATTCTTGTTTCCATAGAGTAATTAGCACTCATCTTCATCCCATTATGCAATCAACAAACAATCTAATCAAAAATTAATTATAATCAAGAAATTTAACCTAAAAAGATCTTTTATATATTGTATTAAATGAAATGAAATGAAATACGACACTTAGGATAATGGGCGATTTGCTTGTCATAACGAAACGAAAGGATACATTTGTTATACCAAAAAAACAACAATCTTCTCTAAATTTCAACATGCAAATCAACCAAACGAATGTTAACACGGCATATTTCTTTGGATAATACCAAAATTGCGCGTTTTTCAACGCTTACCTAAAGCATTCGACATTTTTTTCATTTGCCGACATACAGCTGATGAATGAAACAAAACAAATATTCATGCAATGTCACGATAGAAATCAATTGTAGGTAAATCAAATTCTGTGTAGGCTAAGACATTTGGCTGTTCTTGTCGCGCCACACATAAACTTTTAGATTACACAGATTGACAGAAGTAAAACAACAATGCTAAAAAATTTGAACGCCTTGTTTTTAGTTGGAGTACATAATCTTAGAGGCATGTACGTAGGCGTCACGATCGCGTGGCAATTTTTTTGTGGGGTAAACTATTACTCTTTTTGACAGGAACACTCATTTTACACTAAAAAAGCAAGAGAAAAAAAAGAACAAAGAAACCATTATAAAAAAGGCTCTCAGTTCTCCAAATTAAGCCCGAGTTGTGTGAAACTAATCAAAATACGCTTTTTTAAACAAGTAAATAAATAAATACGCCAAATGAATAAATACTCGGTCACTTGCCTATCGAGATCTGGTTGCTGTGTCAACAAACTATGTTATCATCCATTGTATATGTATTCATCACTACCCGCCAATGATACCACACCCACATTCCCAGTAAACAGAAAAAATGTCAAAAATGCGCCGAAAAAAAATAAAAAATGGATGGCGGGTGGGATTTTTGGTATACATATTTCTGTGCTGTTGTTCATCTTTAAACCTTAATTTAGAGTTCCCAAAAATTTTCGTCGTTTGTAATGCAGATCCATGTCTCCAAATCGGGGTGATAGGTTTTTTCCATTTAAATATTCATTTGCAAAAAACGAAGCGGAAGGAGAAAATCGAAATTAGGAAACGATGACAAGAAAGAGTGAAAGGAATTTTTTTTTACTCATGTCCACACTTTACAATACAATACAATTCGGAAAAGCTTGATGTGTGCGCTCCTTTTTTTTTCATATTAAATATTTCACACGGAGACAATGCAGATTGAATTGCATTTGTCAAAAGCGAGTTAATCTTCGTTAATAAATTCTCTCGTTGCAGCTTTTCATTGCCGCCTTATTCCCTTTGTCTATACCTGTCCTGCCCTGCTCTGCCCTGCCTTACTCTGTCCCGTGCGTAACCCCAGATTTTATTGCACTCGCTCAAGCTCATTGACTTTATCCGTCCACTCTTCTTTTACTTGAATTCAATCAGCCAGATCAGAAAATAGAAACACCATTCTGCAATATATACGCCAGAATAGCATCATTCTTCGTTGATTTGCACATCGACTTCCACGAAAGTAATAAGACATTGATCAAAAATTTATTTCGTCGACATGGTTGAAAACTTTGAAAACAGGTTTCCGCCCTAAATGATAATTATACAGAAATTCGAGCTGTAGGCGCAACAATTTTGCACAAATAGGTGATAGTGTGTCATGATGATAAATAGAAAGATTCAGGGAGACATTCATCATCGATATACAACAAATAAGATGTAGAATGAAAATCCCAATACGCACTGACCAAACTCTATTTGGTGATATATTGTGAGTGGCTTATATATATTATGACGACTGTGGCGGTGGCATAAGACATGAAAAAGGGAACTTTTGCCATTTTATGACGTATATCTCGAGTTTTCATCCCTTCATTTAGCCTTTTCAATGAATTTTTATATATACTGAAAATCTATTATTAGCCATTCTTTCTCACCGAATATACGCAATTAAGTAAACAACAACAATAATAATAATAATAGTAATAACTACGAATGTTTTGTTGATGTCCGGTGATAACCATACAAACTCCACATACACATTGTAGATACGTATATTAAAAAACCGGTTCGGGGAAATAATGTCAGTTGACAATCTCCGGTTTTCCATTGTTCACATAGTGTAAGAGTTGTACAGAGCAAGGGGATAATAATAAACTCTTTAGCTTTTGATGTGCAAGTGTCACCATTCTTGCATTTGCAGCATATACGCACTATTATCTGCATGTATATTATGAGATCAGAGTTCTTTATGATTGCTTACATCGTTAAGTGACGCATGTAATTTTGCTTTTTGTTAATTTGCTTCTTCTGTTGCTCCAGCCTTTGATGAAAGAGAGGGAAATTAGTTTTCCGTATTTAGACTTTACCATTTCTAGAAAACAAAAAAATTGTTTTTCTTAATCAACTTTTGAAAAGTTCACAAACATTTCATTTATTGATCGTTTTTGGATATCCCGTGGTAATATGTAACCACACAACACATTCTCTTCCATTATTCGATAGCCACATGGAATGACATTTCACGGGTCCTAATAAATACGTGTCTGCCATAAATAGACAAAAAATTAAAGAAATTTGTGCGCTAACAAAGATCTTGCTATTAAATAAGCATTTTTTGCTACGTTGGCATAGCAAGCATACACCTCCGGAGTTAACCTCAATCACCAAAAGTGGAACATTGACAGTTTCCAAATGCGGAAGAGAATAGGTCATTGTGTGTCGATTTAGTGTGGCAAATTTTTGTTTTCCAGGCCATTTATGTGCTATTGAAAATCATTTGTGATGATGCAAGCTAACTTAACATCGTCTCATCACAGTGATTGAGGATGTTTTTCGTAGAAATCACTTTTCCCACCAGTCACTTGTTTGGATGTATGTTAGTAGGTATGCATGTATGCACTTATTAGAAATACTATACAACTGTGGACATATACCCGAGTTTCTCTTATATATTTCATCATCACATTCGGAAAATTCTCCCTTTTAGTATTGTTCAACATGTATTCAATTAAATTAATTAGAACCAAGAAAACAATAGTAATCATTTTTGGCGCGATAATATTAACAATAATTCGAGCGTATATTTAGTAGTACAGGCTTTGCGTCAACCGATTGATTCATAACATTTTTGTAGGTGCTTAACCTAAAGCGTAGATGTACGGTTTTGTATTTGGTGATATATTAATTAATTTATGGTTATCTGAAAGATATGATATTAATACCTAAATTAAGACACTTATCGATCTGGGCATACATCGATAAATTGCATTTTTATAGAGATGAATTTACGTTTCCATTACGGAATATATTGGGCTCTTTGTTCATGACCCGACTCTTAATCCTGCATAAATCGTCAAGTTATGTTACAAAGATATGTAAATGACAAACCAATATGTTCCATTGTTGAACGATTTCTACGAGATCGTTATCAATCTTGATAAACTAACGAATGAGTGGGTGAAAGTTTATACAATCTTTCGATTTTTAGTCAGCGAACATAACATACTCGCGTATATCTTCCGAATTTCCCAAGTTAATTTATTCATGTTTTTCGCTTTTAATCAATCTTGCTTAATCAGCATATACTCGATGAATTTCCTTTTTCGGAACGCAATACAAGCCGGGGAATTCCACCCCGGCTAGCAATCATCGTGAGAATGATGTCATTTTTCCCGACAATTATCCTTTCACGAGAACGCACAGGCTTGTCGCTTCGTGCTTACTCCAATCATACTAGCCTTGATTTTATTATTGTCATCGCGAAATAAGGGAAACAAAAAAATCATACGAAAAAGGAAACACGAAATCGTAAAGAAGTAATAATAACTATCCATGTTACATGCGAGATTTTTGTCATTATCGCATACATATGTATACATATTACATATATAACAATAATATAATAATAATAGTAGTAGTAGTAGTAATAATACATAGCCTCTGCATTCAAAAAGATATCGCGAATCTCAAGCACTCTTGTTGATTCACCAATTACACTGAATCGCATAACATCTACAGTATTCTTGGGATAACAATACCGAATAATAATGAGAATAATAAGAAGACCATTTCTCCTCTGCTTATAATTCAAAAGTTTGAGTTTGATCGATGAACGAATAATGGAAACTAAGCTGGGACCGTTTACTTTTAATCAAGAGTCAAAAGAATGAAAGAGACAATAGTGAGAAAATGAAAAGAGCGATAGCGAGCCACGCCACGCTCTCTCCTGCATGTATACCATAAAATGCATCCGGAATATGCATACATCATCTTAACAAACAATACTTAAATATGTATGCCAATTGCCCAAATGATGATGAACTCGGAAATAATGCTAACAAGCTGCCTTAGTATTATTTTCCTGTCCCTCCCTTTGTTTTGTCGCCTTTTTTAAGACCTTTCAAGAGAAAAATCAGATAACTCGCCAACGCTTTAAGCTCCATATATTGATGATGAATACTGCATGGCGAATGCAGGTTGCATGCATCTTAACCAAAATTCATTTAAACAATCCTACTCAAAATCGAGGAGTGGCACGTGCATAATACTGATAATGATCATGATTATAATGGAAAGTAGTACACATTATCCTTCCATTTCTCATTATAGACGACGCGACGTTTTTGCTGCTTATTTCAATGACGGTGGCTTATCGATTATACGCGAGATCTGAAAATTGGACGTAATCATAATCACAATGCAATAATAGTCACTCGTCAGTATTTTATCACAATCGGGCTATTTTTGTGTGTACGTGGGAAAGCTTCATTCAACCATATTTTTGTCTTATCGTTGATAAGATTACACAAAAGCTATAATAAAATTTTTTTTCGTATCGGTATATTTTTTTACGTCAAACTTTTACCATAACAGAAACCAGTGTGCAAGAATCTTCGTTTATAAATGACATACTTGGAATTCTACCATCTGAGTGATCTTTTTAGCGAATCATGCTGTTGCCTTTTCGTGGAATTACGCTCATATGTAACCATAACGTCAACTATGGTGAATGGACAATCAACAGAGAGTGCAAAAATCTTGTATAGTCCAATGAAGAAGATTCTGTGGTAAAGGCAGCACTTCAACAGAGCAAATTTGCGTCACTGCAAAGCTTCATATTCGGATTCCACAGCAATCGGAATCGTGATATTTATAAAAATATACGATGTGCATAAGGTTCTGTTGTTGGCTCATCGTTACCATGATGTGTTCGTGTTGGTTGTTGGTTCATGTGAGAATATTATATAATAAAAATCGGAGAATAGTTAATATTATAGAATAGTATGTGCACTAGTCAAATAACGAAATCCCAACTTTAGCATGTGATCCAACTTTATTTTTAAATAAAAATTAGAATAAAAATAAGAAATGCAGACTTTTGGGAAAAGTAACAAAAAACGTGTATTATAGAGCTAATGAGCAGCAACAAGCAGATGGATCGGAAATAAATTTAGATAACGCAGCATCAGCTAACACCTCTTTGGTGAATTATGATATAATATTTTGGATTCTTAAAGATGGGTGCAACGGCAGTTTTATGAGTTCCCATTATTCTCGGGATCCCCAGGATAAATGTCACACCACATACACACATATACACGCGTGTACATACCAGCAAAGAACAAGGAATTTAAACACAAAATTCTTGATTTAATCATGAATGTTATTCATCAAGGTTTTCTATGACTTTCACTTTTATCGTTAGTGTTATTATTTTTGATAATGGTTATTATGACCGTGCGTGACTTAACCACAAGAAAGAATAGACTGACAACAAGAACACAAGCTATCATATTCTTCAAAATACAATAGAGATGGGAAAACGAGTTGGTAAGACACACACAGAGTGAAAGAGAGGGAAAAGCGAGAGAGAAGAATATCTCCCCTTTGTTCTCCTTGAATGTAAGAACCGGTAAAAGACCTGATTTATGGTCGATGGATTTGACAGAAGACCAGATTTGAAGTGGAGAGATTTGAGATTCCGATCAAGCAAGTCAAACTATAAATAAGAATTTATAAAAAACAGAACTGTAAATCCTTAGTTCGACGCGACATTCCATAATCCTGAACGAAAAAAATTTTATTATCAAGTTTTTTTTGTTGACCATTAATGGGAATTTCCTGTTTAACACACTTTCCTTTTTGGGTGAAAAAAACTTGTTAAAAGAATAATATAGTAGAATTCGTTGATATGTTTCGGGCGAGTAGAGTAGCATACGACGTAACGACGTCGTGATTATTGATTGTCTCTAGTTTTAGTTATAGAAATTATATGGGAACAATAACAATTATAATATCTCATTATTATATATAGTAATAGTACAATGGGGAGTTTTGTTTCTCCTTGTTCTCTTAATGATAATCACGTATATTGGTGATATAAAAGATTTTTATTGTATAATTTATATCCCATAATGGTATACATCAAAATATACACATATATATATCTATATATTTATTCATATATATATATATATATACATATTATATATGTATATATATATATATATATATATAAAATATGTATAACATATTATATATATATTATTACATTATTATATTTATATTATTGTAAAATGTATGCTTTTTCCCTACAAAAAATAAATCAATCGCAAACCAAACTCCCATTGTATTTAGATTAGTATTATTATTATTATTATTATTATTATTATTACAGTTTTGAAAAAGAGGAATCAACAGAACACGAAAGAGAGAAAGAGAGCGAGGGAATATATTATGCAAGTAATAAAGCATATACAATAGCAAATATACAAGCTCATCCTTTTAGACTGTGTGTGTACAACCACGACCAAAAAATAAATACATATATATAAGTCGGGTTGTCGTTTTCGTTTTTTGCAGTATCAGCTCTCTTTTCACTTTTTATACATCAACTTTTAGTATAAAAGACACGAATTTTTTTGGTTCAATCACAATCAACATAATTATTATCGTCATAACGGATTTTCTATCGTAACGTAACAATAGCACTAATAACAGCTAGCACACTTATCTTTGCGAAAATTCAAGTTTCCGAATCAAATCAAAGACATCCACCTACATCTCTGGGTGTCCTACGTCATACTTGAAACATAAATATAGTTATTTTATTTTTCAAAGATACAAACGAATTTCATTCCATTCCTTCGATGTGAATTTCTGACTATATTTTATAATACTATATTCTTATACATTAATATATATATAAAATAAAAACATATCCATTAAATCTGTTATTATCTCAAAAAAAATTTTTGAGAATAATAGGATAACTTAAAGGGTTCACTCATCTTTTACATACACAATAGCCGCGATCTCAATTATCACATAATAGCCGAAAGAAACGTATACAAATAGAAGTTAACTCCACCAGAAGTTAACTCTGTCAACACTTAAATCTATCTATCTCAAACGTAAAACTCGTATACCTCAGTTTCCCGCCTTTTTGTCATAATACTAAAAAAATTTTGCCACGCCTCAAATTCCAATTTATTAAATTTATTATTTATTCTTTTATTATATATATTCGACAATAACAACAATAATAAAAAATAATATACGAGTTTCCCCCAGTTTAATTTGTGCGCCAATAACAGCACAACATAAACAAATTAACATCACATACTCACATTACTTATAGTTAACAACGTAACAAGCACACTATAACCCCCTTTTCTGGGTCGGAAACGTCGATTCCGCCAATATCATCATCATAATCATCATTCATTATCACCTCACCTATCAATTCATTATTATAAAAATATACATAAATAAATTATACACTATTATAAAAGACTCACACACAATTCACCCACATATATTATACATTATAATATTAAAATTTCATTTTCGCAAATATAAATACAGGCAGTTTGACTTCTTCAAAAACGAAAATTTTTTCCATTTTTTTTTACATTTCACTCTCGCACTGATGACAAAAATTCGATCCTACAACAACATCGACAATAATAACAACTACAACAAACGAGCACTTGTCGAAACGACGCTTCTGACAAGTAACAACAATACAGCAAATAGTAATAATAATAACAATTATTATTACAGCAATAGCAGCAGCAGCAACAACAACAACAATAATAATAATAATAACAGTAGCAACAATAATAACGAAGCTTCACCGCTCTCACCGTCATACTACAATCAATCCAATATTAATAGCAATCTTATCAATAATAGTCCATATAATCAGATATATTATCCATCATCGCAGCAACCTCAACATCAACAGCAACTAAACTATTCAACACAATATCAAACACAGAACCTTTTCTTTGATCCATTACTACATAATCATAATCATCATCAACAACAACAACAACAAATACTACCATCTCTGCTACCATCAATACATCACCATCATCATCATCTATTAACCGAACCAACATCACCGCTATCACTATCATTCAACAGTAATAACTCATCAACAATGATCGAAACACCACAGCAATCACCTCAACCTCTTTCAATGTCATCTCTGCCACATCAGCAACAACTCTCAACGAGAGTGACAAAACGTCGACGTAATCGAGAAACTCCACCTCGACCGCTCAACTCCTTTATGATCTATCGACGAGAATATCAGAAACGGATCAAGGAAGAGAATCCTAATATTCTACTATCTGAACTATCACGAATCTCAAAATCGGCTGCAGATCGATGGGCGAATGAATCGCAACAAGTAAAACAACTATACGCGGAGAAGGCGAAAGCCGAGAAAGAAGCACACATGAAATTATACCCAAATTACGTGTATTGCCCGCGAAGACCCTCACGAACTAAACCACGAAAGAAATCATCCATTTCGGGTTTGGAGAGTTCTTCGGAAAAAATGTCGTTGAATTTCTTGCTGAATGACGAATCGACGAATGCCTTGAATTCTTTTCGTCAATATGGTCACTCAACATGTTAATACCATTCTCATCATCATCATCATCATCACAAATAGCACTGTTTAACGATTGTCACCGTAATATCATCATTAGTAATTTCTTGTTCATGTAACGAGGGTTTTGAAAGCACTCGCATTTTTCTCCATCCATTCATTCATTCATTCATTCATTCATCATCATCAATAATATTTTCCATTCTCCCCTGAATAATCATAGCAGTTAGGCGAGAACGGATTTGCATAGTTAAATAATTATTAGCATTTTCTTTTCCCCCACTTTGTATATTCTCACACCCACATATCAAATAATACTGCAATCACATCATGGAAACATGTATATTTTTTACGTTTACTTTTGAAATTAAGCTTTCTACTCTTTTTCTCTTTGTAAATACTTTTTTTTAGTTTTTATTTTGATTCCCATTGTTTTCTTCTTTTTCATACCGTAAATTTAATATGGGCAAGCTCAAGTCTCTACGTGATTAGTTATACCCAGTAAATAGCAATAACACGATAACCACAAATTGAAACAATAAAAAAACATAATAACACACAAGCCACAAATAAAACAATTTGAATTCGTGCGTGTGCATTTTTTTCTCAATCAGATCGAATCAATTAAATTTCTTTCGCGTGGTCAAGTTTCCGAATTCCGTGTGTCATCACTAAACAATTGTTTCTCAAAGTGCATTGTCTAAACTTTATCCATAACGATAAGAATAAGAATAATACACTTATATATATGTACTATTGAGGTTTATTTATAAAAACAAGATAAACTATGATGAGTTCCCACGAGGTACATTCCTTATCGGCAGATTCCGTTTCGCCATTATTCGTTTTTATTCCGCGTGTGCTGCTGCGTGTGTGAATCATCTTAATCTCATTCATTCCACACACACAAAAATGCTAAACACATTTTCTCTTCAAATCCGGTAAATTAGCATTACATTATCATCATATATACTCATTCATTCATTCATTCTTATCGTTATACCCATTCTTTATTAAAAAAAAAAAAAAAACGTACATGTGGATTATGATGCTATATTTGTCTATTTTCTATCATTGTCCATACCAAATAAATTTCTTTTTTAAGATTCATTACCCACCAAAACCCACCCATTGTTCATAGCCAGTCGGAATTATTCATTAACGCGTGTATTATTGTCACTACGTTGTCCCGCTTGTGCGATAAATAATAATAACCATCAATGTGTCTGTCTATCGTTATTCTCATATATAGAATGAATATGAATTACGGCCACAATGATTGCGTAATACTTATAATAAATAATATCAAGAATTAGGGATTGTCAAAATAGAAGATTTCCCCGTCCCCTTTGTGTAAGGGGGGTTTATCAGATGATTTGGACTATGAAGACCGTTTGTCATTCTTTTTTGTTGTCAGGAATCAAACCAGTTGACTTCGATTCAACAATCATTATGCGCATCCATTTTATGCGAATTTAACCCCGGTCCGAAGTGATATCATCAACCGATAATAATGATATTCATCATTGTTGTTGGTTGGTTGCTACGGCATGTGTAAATTAAGACATAATATGATTGACATCATGAAAACGATTACGATTACGATAATCGAATACAAAGAGATTTGATTGATATACAAAAGTAGAGAACAATGCCATAACATCATTCATTAATCAAGTAGAACATTTTGTCTGTCCATCGCAGAAACTATTAATTTTCGATCAATTATTAAAGTTGATTGATTGATTAATCCTACGCTACTACCAGGCATATAATATGAACATTGTCTAAGTACTGTGCATTCTCATCTTTGGGTCATAACGATAACAAAGAACAATACTAAGCCAAATACCTAGTTTCACACAATTATGATTTATGATTATCTAATCACAACAAAACATGCACAATTTCACATTTTCATTTGACAGACTCAACTCTATTCCGAAAACACAATTGCTTGCACCATTGACACCATCAGCAAACCTTTTTTTGGATAAAATGACTAACTATTATGGCAAACTCCTAAATAAATTTGGCGTATGTTTTCAATTTTTTTTATTTTTATTTTTATTTCTCGAGTGTTTGGGAGGGAATTGAAATTCATCTAGTGACTCGCGACGTAAGACACTCACACAGATACACCAGACCCGATGAGAGAGACAATGCTTATAATGTTAAGGTGTGTGTTGTTTACGCGCGGTGATTGTGTGCGTGATGTGTGTAATGCAGTGTGGTGTGATGTGAAAGATATTGCAAAAATTTTTTTATCCAAGAAATCGTATCTTTTTTTGCTAGAGAGCGCAAGAAAATAAACTTCAAAGAATTAATATACAGTATGTGTATGCTAGTGAATAATGAAATAGAAATGCATGAATGCGTGAGAATATATGCGCGTGAATGTCATCCCTATGACATTTAGATAAGTTACCTCCTTCGCATTCGAATTCACATGCAGAAGTCGACGTCGATCATCACGTTTAAGTACTGTTTGTTGAATTTTTATCCTTTTCGTTTTGGGTAAACAAGAAATTTTCCTGTTTTTTGATGCACATTATTTTTAAATTATAATGAGCAACTACTGCTACACCTTTTATCGCAAGGTTGAAAAGGTTAATTTTATTCCTTCTATCCACATTTCCATCTTTATCCTATTTTATAGATGGATGATACGAAATTTAATAATAGATAATATTGTGAAAAAATGATCTACGCATGGTTAACACGATGCCATTATTTGGATTCTATTTATTTATTGGATTTTTTGAACAATGGTTTTTGGCTGTTATCATTCCGATCGGTTCTATTCAGGATCGCCACGTTTTTCATAGGCAAAAATTCCAACGTATTTGGATCGGGTACCGCGATAATCATCAAAAAATCTAGCATTGTGGGAGATCCATGCAGAAATGGCATGAAAAAAGAAACTTTTGGAAATCGCATTGTCGTCTGCCTAATCGAGTTTTGTGATGTTTCATGTCCAATTTCTTTCTGTTTCTCTTTTTTTTTTTCCATTATCGTACTTTTGTGCGCGATTTTTTTTCAAAAATTGATTTACCCAACACGTTTCTCATCGTTAAATAAAACGCGTTTCATTTCGTAATTACATGTACATGCAGCACGTAAAAATGATAAAGCTTAAACGACGACGTTTTCACGCAATATTGCATTATAAGGAAACACATACAACTCCTTCTCTTGAAAAAATCGAGAGTATAAACAAAGAATTTTCGGTTTCACTTGAAATTAACATCAAGCAATCACGCACACATTCAATTCTTTTCAAAACTCATACTAGTGTATTTACTTATATAATATGCGTATACATATTTAACGTCTGTAAAGGCGTTACACAATTCTGATAGATTAAAAAATATTTTAATTGTCACAATAATCACTACTTGGAATAGTAAGATTGAAAACGGATACTGTTTATAAGGTCACATGTAAATCGTCAATTTCAAACACTTATCGTTATTTTTACTTTCACGATTTCTTCAAACAAGATTATTTTTCCATTCATAGTGTAAATTCTCTGTTCATGCAACGATTCTGGTCCGTGGGCATTTTTGATAATTGGGCAAAAAAAAATATTAATGGAATTCGTGCTCCGAGGGTATTAAAGTATGTTTTATTTAATAAAGTATTTTGATACCATTAAACAATAAACAACTCAATAAACATACATTATATTGTATTCTTAGATATTTACAGTGTATCAACTATTTTGGATACAGTCAACTCTCCATCCATGAATGCACGCTCTTACTCAAGCCCAAGCTTATAAGACCTTAAAATATCCTGCTCTCTATAAATGCAATCTCTCTCTAAATGCAAGCCCATGTCTGACTAGTCATATGGTCCCGGCGAATTGCATTTAGGGAGAGCTGACTGTACATTGATTGACGCAGGTGAGCTGCTTCTAGTGAAATATCTGGTGGATGGACGTCGGAGGGGATTTTTTCGGATTTGTCGAATGGCATTTCCTTCACGAAATTTGTAGTGAAATTGAAAATAATAATATTTCTTTTACGAAATTTGTAGTGAAATTGAAAGTAATAATATCAAACGATTTTCTATTCATCAGGATTCAATGAACTTGATGAATGAAATCTTACTTTGGGTCAAGACTATTATGATGGCCGAAAAGGAATAAGGCAAATAATTCAAAATTGTGTGCATTTCTTTGATTGATTCTCGCGATTTTTGATTTCATGGTCAAACCCTATTCACAAATTTCGTCATGTATCAATATCTTGTGTATCATCATTTGTGTCCCAAAATGGATAAAGCATCCCGCCCAAACTTTTCCTAAAAGTGGCGAGTAGCGCGGCAGCCGGTACGGATAGCATTTCACGGACTGTGTGATAATAAAGGACCGTTGTCACAAATGATACTTAATTTGAATGATACAGTTCTTTAACCCCCATACCAGTCAGGTACGAGTGTTACAAGTGCAATCAAGACTAGCTTTCTGATCATAAGGCTTTTCTTTAGAAGGTCCTGCTCTGTACGCTGTGTGTGGAAATTGATAATTCTTAAACCTGATTTCTAATAAAAATGGACAACAGCTTTAGCTTTTTTTACTTTTTTGGTCTTTATAACAAAGGTTAAGTTTTCTCCAAAGAACATATCTATTGATTCAGGATAACAAGAAATTCTTTAACAATCATTGTACATATTGTTGATACTTTACAAGAACAATCATTATTTGGACTAGATCAATTATCAATAAAGAGTATTTTCGTTGTCTAATTAATCTTAACGTTTTATAAGAATAAAGAGATCTTTTCTGCTTCGTTGAATACAATCAATCAATGGAGGTTATTGGTCTTTGTTGCTATTAGTTCATTGAAAGGAATGATTCCGAAAAGAAATATTTTTGAACACAATGATTTTGTGATATAGTCAGAGGTGGGTAGTAGTAACCTTTGTGGGAATTAGGAGCAACTTTGGAACATGCAAAGAGTTATCGAATAATAATAATGGGAACGATGTTTTGCTCCTCTTGTACAAAATCATCACTTTTTTTGTCTTTATTTATTTATTGTACAAAATCATCACTTTTTTTGTCTTTATTTATTTATTGTCCATAAAACAATAATTGTTAACAATCTTTGAGAAAAAAAGACTCCATGTTGTTGAATGTGTAAGGTTAGTTTAATTCGTTGTTGTTATGGTTGTTGGCGGTTTGTCATTTCTTTGTTCGAGCTACCTCCAAAATTTTATTTGTGTATCACCTCGAAATTCCCGCATTTATTTTTTTTTTTTTTGATTTTAAAATTTTGTCAGCCCCCTTATTTCTTCTTCTCCTTAGAAGTATATCTGTCTGTTATCCTTTTTTATTCTTTGCTTTAATAGATGAACGTACGTATGAGTATCACAATTATTCTTTGTCTAATAGAAATATTTGAAAGGATAATGATTATAAAAAAACAATGATAGACCAATAGAAACTGCCAATCCTAAAAAACAATCATTGTCTATCGTTAGATGCACTCACGGCAATCATATGGTTGCTCTATTCTCTTCTCGCTCTCTTTCTTATCACCTTATTCTTTCTTTGTCTTGTTAATTCATTATAATTATTGTTTGTATATATTAAAAATGATGATAAATTAAAAAACACAAAGAAAAAACGTGGTTTGAAATTAATTCACATAATCTGAAAAAGTAGTCGCACACGATCATTGAAATGTAACACGTCACTGCAAGTCACTGTGAAATTGAGGTTCCCAAGTGTGGTTGGCGTCTTAAGGTGACACCAGACGCATTGTTTCCATTGTTATGAAGATGTATTGGCTCGTTCTTTTTTTGTTCTTGCGTAGCACTAAAAGTTTTTCCTTTGTTTATATTATGGTACGTTTTTATTGGCCGGATTTTCCTTATTATTTACGTGTCTGAAAAATTTATTATTCAATATTTTGGGATTATTCATAATTTTAAAGCACACGTTATTCCCCATTAACCGGACGTTTTTTTTTGGCTGTTAACAGGAGATCCATTTTAACGGGCGTTTTGATTAGTCAAATATTTTTCAATTCCGGAATTTTGCCCATTTAGGCCATTTCCTGATTAGTGAGTTTCCAATTTAACTGGAGCGACGTGTATCAAGTTTTGGGATGATGAATAATATGTGATATTCTTGAATTTATTAATTGTAAATGAATAAAAATCATCGTTATTGTCTCAAATTCTATTAATAATTCAACTGAATCTCTTCATTGTAAAACCTATAGGCGCTCAAGATTGTAACTTTGAGCTTAAGAAATACAATGTCTCATTTTAGGAAGACAGCGGATTTTCCCCCAACAAATTTTGGTAGTAGCAGTATTACTTAAACAAATACTTTTCCGGTATTTGTTCTCTGGCTGTGTTCTTTTTTTGAACATTTCCATGGAAAACTGTTCCGTTTGGTAATTGCGTAAACAAGCGAAAACCAGCGTAAACAAGACTTTATATTATTATTATTCATCATAAAATATTAACTTTAAAAATAGACACAATAAATGGAGGGATAACTTGTTTCTGAGCTACGCTAGTCCCTTAATAGCTGCGCACAATCTAAGCATATCAAATGGACTCGAGTATTATGGAAAAATGATATATTATCAATCACAAATCACAAGATGATCTTTGTTATGATGATGCCTTTCAAACTTGAAGTATTGCCAGATTTTTCCTCTTTTTGTCAAAGCGTAAAGTGGTTTGGTAAGCTTGGACAATCAAACAAACCAATTATTACGCTCATTATTAGTCTTGATATGTTAAATATATATTTATATATGCGAATAAACAACATACGATAAACCAGATATGTTCTCTCATTTTTAAACTCTTGGCTTAATTATTAAAAAAATTAAATTTCATTTTTTTGCTTATTTATTTATTTATGTTATTTATTCAATCAATCCATTTTTATTGGAACACAACATTAAACCCGCCAAATTCATACTTTATGATTCGATGAAAATGTTGTTGGGCACATGCAACTTTACGTGAGAATATATTTTTATGCTGTTTGGGATTACAGTATTTTTCAAAATCTATGAAAATGGCCAGACTAACGAACTTTTTTTTTAGCGTGTATATTCAACGAAACCCTTGGTATAATGAACGCGGAGGTCATCTAGTGTGTTTCGTTATATCGAGGTTTGACTGTAGATGCGGGGGAAGAAAGATAATTGATAACTTTTCAATAATAATCATTATATAATTTAAGCGTTTCAACAATGCAGTTCCGACGATTTACCAAAAAGGAAATCGTAAAGCGAGGTGTTTATTGAAATCGGTATTTGTTGTTGACACTACATTTATCTCCTACAAGTTTCAAAACCTCATTGATTGTTTGTTGTCTGGTGGGTGGTTATTTACAATGAAGATAAGGTTTTCCCAAGAACTGATTTATTATAATAAATGCTGATAAATAACTAAATATAATAACTTTGCAAAAACATGGCCTAATTTTGGAAAAAAGACATTAAACTGTATGCGGATAATCATTTGCAAAAAAACAAATATCCCTATTTTTAATACTGACCACCCATTCAACTGGCCTCTTACCCGATTAGATTCAGAAATATCTTATTATACAACCCCAGCACGTTTGTTACCCGAACGGAAAAAATAATAATAACAACAATGACGATCAAGAGTTCTCTCTTATCTTTTGCGTCACCATGACAAATATTTTTAGAGGGTAAAAAAAAAACGGAACAATGGGTGAATTTATTTATTTATTTATTTATGATTTAATATTTACGAAGAATTGTTCGATTTTTGCTCCAAGGTAAATAATGTTTCTCTGTTCTCGATTAAAGGGAAAGTCAACTCGATTATTTTATACAGTGCATATCAATCAAAATTATGTAGTTAATGATCAATCAACAAAACAACAACCATACAAAATATATCTATTTTTGTGAGGTATACCTATCTGCCGAAAGCATTTAGCAAGAATTGGTTTCAAACGTTAATTATGCATGTCTCGTTAATAAAACTTAAGCATGTCGAATTTTTACATTTATTTTAAACACAAAAACTTACTAATTTTAAACATGAAAAATTGTTGTTCTCTTAAAAGACAATTATTTTACTATCCAATAAAACAATACAAAAATCAAAAAAGAATCTAGTATTATTGGTATTAATATTGGTATTATTATAATTCAATACTTCAATAATTTAATATTTTTATATTTTTATATTTTTATATTTATATATTTTATTGAATAATCTTATTATATATTATTGAATAAATGATTGTAGAATCTGTATGTGTAATCATATTCAACCAATACTTGTAATTATGCTTCAAATAATAATTTCAACTAGTGCTTTATTTATTAATTCTATTGATTTAGAACTTACAATTTATTTAAATATTACTTGTATTTCAATATAAAAATTAAGTTTTTAAATAATTAGTAATTTTCTTTGGATTTTTAATATTATTTTTTGGTTAATTAGATAATATTTATTATATATATAATCTTTTGTCTTAATTGCAAAGTTATATTATTTGTTTATAATTTCTCATTATTATTATTTATTATAAATTATTATTTATTATAAATTATTATTAAAGTATTTTTTATTTGATTCAAATCACATAAAAAATATATTATACATTTAAAAGTAAATAAATTATATAAAATAATAACAATATTTTGATAATAATATATTATTTTTGTTATAATCTATCTTTAATTAAAATATATGATTTTTTATTAAATATTCTTTTTAATTGGCATTGTCAAAATTTTTTAGTATTATATAATTATATGATTAAAATTAAAATTATTAATTAATTTAGATTTAATTTAAAATAATTAATTATTATAACTACTAATTCCTTTTGTAATATAAATTATTATAATTAATAATGAATTTCAAATTATCTTGAAAATTGACAATTATAATCTAAATTAGTTTCAATTATATATCTAATTATGTACTTAAATTATCTTATAGATTTGGCATTTATTTTTAGTTAGAATTGAACATTTTGATATAATATAATTGAAAAAGGATTATATTTTAATATAATATTATAAAAACTTTTTCAAATCACTTTGCAAAAAGAAATTTTTTCATTTAAATCTAAAAAAAAATGTATATTGGAATATAGATTTTTGTGTTTATTTAATGTGAAATAAAAATTGGTTATTAATAGAATTGAAACTTTTATAAAGAAAAAAATTTCAATTATTAATGCATGTGGTGCAGTTAGTGTATCCTGAATCCATACCATACCAAAATGGGTATCACTCTTTCTTTTTGACAGATCGATCAATTTACTAATCAGGACTTATCGTTATGATTAATTGGTGATCACACGCTTAACGTTAACGATAAATTTTCCCTCTTTCGAAATGCATTTTAAAAATACAAGCCTAGATATATAAACAGCTAGATTTATTATTGGTAGAATTAAAAAGAACCTTACAAGAGATCGTAAAAGATAACATAATGATGGATACGTTCAAGTGAATTTTTGAATTGTAATCTTTTGTTTCTCTAGACTCGTGTGTGGTGGAACAATATCAAAAATAGTTGAAAGTTAACTAACCAATTACAGGGTTGCTTTTCTATATGTCAACTTTAAATACACAAGAACAAGGTTTTTTTTTAGTAGATATCACCCACATGTCCAAATACTATTATATGTACGTGGCTGGGTCTTAAAAAACAAGTAGATTTCTCGCTAAAAGCAAGATGCGAAAATGAACACGAATTCTCAGTATTGGATTGTCGTGAAAAAAGATGATTTACTCATAATAAAAAACTTTACTTTTTCGATTCATACAATTAAAATTATGTGTTCTTCCCATATGACCTTTCAGCGTATACGTTCACATACAACATAAAACAACATAAACACAAAGAAAGCGGCAACAAGAAAACATCACTTGACACTCATATAATCACAAGATATATAATGACTAGTTTTTCAAAGTACTCGCACTTGTACGTGTTCAGTAAAACATATAATGACGAATAGTTACTAGTTTTTCACTTTTAATAGCATATATCATCAAAGTACTCACACTTATGTGTTCAGTAAAATAATTAATTAAATATTGATCACGATAATAATAATACGACGTAATAAAGTAAATATTTGGACCAACGATCACAAGACATCCATCCATCCATCCATCCAAATGATCGTACTAAAACAACAACCTAGTTAAATAGAACAATAACATGAAAAAAACATCTTTTATGGACCATGTATAGTAGTATATAGCAAATATCATTTTTTAAAATCAGGGATATCCCTACTTTAAAATGATATCGATATGCACCTAATTATTGCATGCATTCCATTAATTTCCCTATAACAATGCAAGTTTAGATCCTTGATTCCTTGGCGAATAAAACGAGTTCTCTGTGTGCATTTTATTCTTCTCCGTCAGCACATTGTCCATAACAATAACCATTACAATAATCGCCGTAACAATTTCTATAATGCAATATAGTATGTACAAAGTAACCATTCCTTTCATAGATAATTTATTTGTTTATTTATTTATTTTATTGTTGTCTTCGTGGGTATCATCAATGAGCGCGCGGTACTCAAATAATTAATAAATATTTAATATTTTGAACAAACACAAGCATTCTGAATAACAATCGTAAAACATTCTGAATAGCAATTACAAAAACATTAAGGGTATATAGCAAACGGTCGTGTAAATAATTTAAATTTAAGGAACTAACTATTATTGAATAATAAAATCGATACTATGGATAGTTATTAATTAAATCATAATGTCATTAGAAATGACATATGTATAATTAATATGAAAACGCAGATTGTTTGTTCCGCGTCTAACATATTTTTACATTATATTACATTACCTACTACTTTCCACCAAACTAATTATCGGATGAATTGAAAAAAAAAAATACAAAAAGGGTAATAAAATTATGCGCCGCTTCCATGCAATGCGTATACAAATTAAATACATAAATCAATCCGTCGTTTATTTATTTGTTCAGACAAAGATAATACACCTTTTTTCCTTTAGATCAATTAATTAATAAATTGATCAATTAATATTTGTTTTCGTTATCCCCAAATTAATCGTATTATTAATTTTTATTACGGTAATCTTGATCTTTTACCTAGCTGATTTCGTCTGTTCTCTAGTACGATCATGACCAAATAAGATAATAATAATAATAATCCGTTCTGAAATGTGATAAATTAGGTGACTATTAATTTAGGAATGATGTCGATTTACCTGTCTATTGTATACACGACACAACAGAAGATACAGAAACAACAACAACATTACTTATCATTATTGTTATTATTACACTAAACCAGCACACGCACTTTGTAACTCTCGTGCTTTTTTTTTGCATTGACGCAGAAACAACCACGCTATTTCATGCACTCACACATTCCATTCATTCTCATTATTATTGTCGCTGTTGTTGTGTTATCGTTATGGTTATTATCATCATCAAAATGGCGGGATCTGAACAATGGAAAATTCGACATTTTACACAAACAAAATACACACAGACAAAAAAATCTTTGTTACTTTCGTGGGTTACATTAACTCAAAAAATTTGTAATCGCTATTCTTTACTATTGTCATTATTCACATACTCTAAGGTTTTTTAATTCACCCTTCTTTTTTTCTGTTCTCGATTCTAATGTGTAACTGCCACTTTTCGTTACTTAGCGTTTAAAAAAATTAATGCAAATTTAGGATTTAAAGTTTGTCTTTTCGTCAAAAAACAATTATTCTAAAAATCGCATTAATTACGTAATCACAAGACAATAATTAATTATGGAAATACCGAGTTTCGTTTAATTAAGGAAAAATTATCAAAAAATCGCCTAAAACTCTGCATCAATCATAACTTCTTTTTCTATATAGGATTCTAAAACACGTGCATAAACTATAACCGTAATTTAAAAGAAAAAAACATAACGATAATATACTATCGACCAATTTAGAAAAAATGTTTCACAACTTGTGCCTCCAATGGATTCTACATCACAACTTAAATTTTACTTAGTATTGTTCTCTTTCTGTGTTTCTCAAAAAAGCGACAAGTTTTTTGAAGAGAGAGATATATATATATATGTGTGTGTGTATATATATAAAATGTTTACTGTTTCACGATAGTTAGTTAGATAGTCGCATTTGGATTGGGTCCTACATGAAATTATTATTATTATCATTATAATGAAAAATTGATTAAAACATAAACATATAAACATGCAACCCACTACGCTCGATTAAGATTTACCGCCAAAAATAACGAATAGACTAATACAAATAATAATATTTTCTCATTGCTGCATTGTGGTCGCCGAGAATACAGAGAACAATTGTTACTTTATTGTACTAATTATTCCGGGTAACTATCCATTTCCTTGTGGAATCATAGTGCATTAATTAATCCTATATGTGATTATTGCATTATTATTGTTATATCGGTAAAGGGATGAAAATAAAGTTAAGTGATAAAATATCGTGTAATCACTACACATATTATCACGCGTAGCACTGCCACACATACTTAAAGTATCAGTAATGAGAATAATAATTTATAGTAGTCTCTGATTCATGTAGTCTAGATAGTTTTTTACGCGCGTAGAATAAGACTACACTGTAGCATTTTATATACTAATAAAAGAAGAATAATAAAACAACAACAGCAGCAGCAGCAACAACAACAACAACAACAACAACAACAGCAGCAGCAGCAACAAAAACAACAACAACAATGGCTGAATATGATTTCCTCGTGTTAATTATTTTGTTTTTGTGAATTCCAAAACGAAAATTCTAATTCTAATAATATTGTTAATGGTAAACCTAAAAATATTAATGAGGATCGGAAACAATCGTCAAATTGTATTACGATATTAGAACAATGGGAAAATGAAGATTGTCAAATTTTGTGTGCCCAGAACTGGTTTCTTGTTTGGGAGAATTTTGTGTGGGGTGAGTTGAGTTGATGTTTTATTTTATCGTTATCTTTCCTTTAATTAGATATTTCATGGATTTACATCGTTCCAAAATGTAAAAAAAGAATAAAAGAATTAAGATTATTTTTCTAAGCCACACCGAATAAATTGGCTTTATCTTTTTCCTTGTAAGGAATGAAAAAACCTGAATCTAACCAACCAATCGATTCATGTCTCCACAACACAACACACTTTATTCTGGTGCTATGCACAATGATGTCTCGCACAATGCCCATGTGATTATTAGAGCAGTGCATTCGTCATGATGTTGACAATGACCTGTCATCTGTTTTTTTTTATTTTCTTATAAACAACCAGTTTCTTGTAATTAATATAATATTATTTATAAGAAGTAACCCCGCCTCTTGTTATCTGAAATATCACACGCATGATTTTACGCCAACGATTGATTCATTGATTTTCAATGCTTTGATGATTTATTAAAACCTGTTTTACTCTTGACTCATTCTTCCATAATTATTACTGTTATTTCTTTGCTTTGTGAATAGATCAAATATTTTATTTATTTATGTGTGTCGCTATGTTTATATGTATGCGCGCCATTTCATAATAACAAACTACTTTTTTTTATGCTTATTAGTTATTGTTGTCTGAATGAATGAGTAGTGATGATGGATGATGGTGGTGGTGGTGGTAGTAGTGGTGGTGGTGGGTGAATGCGTGGGTCATTATGAGAGAAAGGTTGGCGTGCAGAAAGTGTACTGTTTTGTTTAATCTAGAGAAAAAGCGAGATATAGTATGTATGTATGCATATGTAACGAACAAGAAGAGCAACGAGAGAAAAAGAGAAAATTCATCTAAAGTGTGTATCAAACAAAGCAGATATTTTGTTTTTAGTTTTAAAATCATTGTTTTTACCCCATCACTCTGAAGATCAAAAAGTTGTATTATTCTTTTGTTTGTCGTGACTTCTCTGGGAAAATACAAAGGTTTCCTACTTTTGACGGGGCTAATATGAATCTCTGCTGTTTCTTTGTTCTTTTTTCTAACTAACCAAGTTAATTAATACTTTCCACTTGCTATTTCGTAAATATCACAAACCACCCATTCTTTCTTTTTTTTTTTACCCCACAAAATAAACATCGCACGCACAATTTTGGCTACTTACACGGATGTTTCTGGACTGGTATCTGTCTGTAATCTCGATATATAATATTTTAAAGTGTTTAACGTATTCATGCTGTTGTGTAGATAAACTAAGATAAGTAGCACTGTTTAAGGTGATAACGCAGATAACAGGCGCCGTCTCTTGAAAATATGATTTGCAGCTTTTTTTCTTTAGTTATGAGGTTTTTGCGTTTCGTTTATCTTTTTACACATTGACCACCTTCCCCACCGTATCATACCTGCATACATACAATGCACACACATAAAGGAAATTTTTAAGTAACAATTTAGTATGTATTCTCGTTGAACGAATATGCAGAAAACTGTTCTCACATAAACCCATTTTCTATTACTGAACACCAAAAAAAAGTCACATCTCCCTTAATGAATACAGGTTATAGAATGTAATTTTCTAGATATAACGGGAAGGATCGTGTTATTTTAATACAGATTTAAACTTGATATATTTTCGATAAATCGCTAAATCTGATTATTACAATACGTGTAACATAGAAACCAGTACTTATTATACTTGCTGCCAAATCCCGAACTATCAAACCCCCAAAATTCCAAAACTCAAATTCAACTTAAGGAAAGTTATTTGTTGCATATATGTGTGATGACGTCACATATATAGATTATAATACTTCGCTATTTATATAACAAATATAACTAGGATTAGAGTAAGAATAAGAGCTAGTGCTGGGATAAGATTAGTACTAGTAACAATTATAACTAGTAAGCTTTAAAAATAATGAATTATAAATAAATTATTATGATAAATAAGTTACTATTACATATATGACAAATAATTTTTTCCTAATTTTAATTGGAATAATGCTTATAAATTACTGAAAATTCAAAAAAATATATAATTCTATAATAAATTACTGAAAATTCAAAAAAAATAATTATTCCTTTATATTGAAAATTTCTATTTTATTAATAAATATTTTTTTATACTAAAATAAAAATGATAATATATATTTTAATATATATTTTTTTAGATTTTATTTCTTGCAAATAATTATATTTTTTTACATTTTAATTATAAAAATTATTTTGTAAACAGAAATATTTTTCAAATTAAATCTAGAAAATTTATATTAAGATATAATATAAATTATTATTTTATTTTAATATATAATAACTAACAAAATTATAAAATTGCACATGCAAATTTATTAATAAAATATAATAAAATTGAAATTTTTGTTCTATATAAAATTTTTTATTTTTCTATTAAAATAAAGATTATGATTTATATTTTAATATATATTTTTTTGAATTTTTTAGATTTAATTTAACAAAGTTGTTCTAATTACAAGTTATTTTATAATTAAAATATAAATTTAATTATAAGAAATTTTTACAATAACTTGTAATTAAAATAACTTTATCAAATTAAATCTAAAAAATATATATTAAAATATAAATTATAACCTTTATTTAATATAAAAATAAAAAATATAACAAATTTTTTTGTATATTAGTTTTGTATAACTTTATATATATTAATTTGAATTAACTAATAAAATTACTAGAAATTAGATATATTATAAATTTTTATACATAATTCAATCATTTTTTGAATTTATATATTCTTTTTATATATTACTAATACTATATAAATTAATAGTTTATAATAAATATATATTGATTATATTAAATATAAGTAAATATTATGAAATATAACAAAATATGGAATATATATAAAGAATATTATAGTGCTAATACAACATATTTATTTGATAAAGCAATTAAAAAAATCATATTTCTAATATTCGTATTATAGAATACATAAGCATAAATAACAAATAAGAAATACTAATTTTACTGATTGAAATAAAAAAATTAAGTATATTATAACTTAAATGCAGAATTTTCTTATTATTAAAACTAATTTTGTTAATAATTTTTATAATTATTTAATATTAAATAATATTAGTTATTGAAAAATAATATTAGATATTAATATTTATTGAAAAATATATAATATTTAATTATTAAAACTAATTATCTATAATAATAAAGATTAT